AAAATTCACTTTCTTCTGTTAAAGCTCATTTGCCTTAATAGACACGCACGGAAAGTAGAGCTCGGAATCTACATAGCTTTGTTTCCTTTAATTAATTATACAGTAAGTAATTTAATATTTAATTATTCAATATATATAGCCTTGGCAGACATATATAGTTGAAATATTAAAACAATATTAGAATAAAACTTAGTTGTATTTTCTTATTTCCTTGACCTTCAATTTTCCAATCAAACTTTAACACTTCGGCTTTTCCCCCTCATTTCATCATTTACTTAAATATAATGAGTTTTAATTATATTTATGATAACAAAAATTTTGAGATTCTATTGGAATGTAAGTTGTATAGAAGCAAATGGACTCAAGTTAAAAGAAAATCCATCAATATTTTTTATGCATCACCCTTGTCCCAAAATATTTCAGCTCAATTATATATGTGTGTGTGTGAAAGAAAAAGAAAGACACTGATGCATTATATATATATATATATATATATTATATTCATAATACATAGTTCTCCTTAATTATGTTTTTTTAAATTACTCTTAATTAGGGATATAAGAAATAAGATTTTCGAATTGAGATGCTTCATTAAATAGGAATAAATATGAAAAGAGTGAATAATTTTAAAGACAATTATCCAGCTCATTAGAGGTATAATTTAATTAAAAGTATATTGAATGAATGAACAATATATACCTTGAAAATTATTTGTGTCTATAGTATTTATAAATTGAAGACCATTAATTTTACAACGAATTATGAGATTTAAAAAAACTCGATCAGACTATATATGCTTCAAAAACTTAAAATGTGCTGCATACAAGGCATTAATGATAGATAATCTTTGAAACTTGACAAGAGACATTTTGAAATTTGTGCGCGCGCGCGTGTGTAATGCTTGTAAAGCTTGTCAAATTGGCCAAAGAGGTTCAACGAGAACTATACAAGTGAAACAGAGAAGGAAGAAAGAACTTACTCGATCTGAGCTCTTACTCTTTTTCATTATATATATCGTCCTTAGAACTCGGCAGATATATTCCAAACCAAAGTAAAGCCTGAAAAATTCCCCGCCAAAAGATCAGACACAAAAACTCATCACAAATTAACTTCTCGTATTCTTCTTCGTTGCTCACCCTCAGGCCTCAACTCAGAAGAAACCCAAGCTAGCTGCTTTTGCTTCACAAGTTTCTCTCTTACAACCACGCCAGGTTTGTTTATATACTGCTCTTTTTGTTTCCCTTTTTATAATTCTCTGTGATTTTTTATACGTGCATTCAATTTAATGGTGTGCATTATTTCATACCAAATAATTAAACAAGTGGTCCTTTTCCTATAGGAGAAAAAAAAAATCTTTTGTGCAAACAAATATCTCATACACAGATGAGATCATAACAGTTCTAAAGTAGGGTTTACTGGGATTCAATCTTCAATTAGTTTCTGAAATAGATGTTCCACAATTAGTTTCTATATATATATATTGTGTGGTCCATATGTGTGAAGAAAAGCTCATAGAAAAGGTAAAAATTGATTCTCAAGTCACCAACATATCAAAATGGTGGTGTAGAAATGATGAGGAGAAGAGATGGTCCTCACACTTGAATAGCAGATCTGAGAGTCGCTTGACCAATTATATTCTATGTATATAATTATACTTAAGAGTTTCCTCTGGAAAGAAACATATGAAACTTAGAGAAGCATCCACATATATTAATATTTAATTTAGTGTGACATGTTTTCGTATCACTATCATTCATCTTGGAGAATTGCTGTTCCTCGAGTCTTGATCATATGAATGGAATTTGTTTATTGGGTCGAAAGCTGGTGTGCATTCATTGAAGTCTATCTGAATGATCATGATCCTAAGTTTTATATAATATATATATATATATATATATAGACACCCACACAAAGCTGCTTGAACTGAATAGTTGATGATTGTAGGAAGAACGAATTATATAGATTAGGAATTAAAAACACACGCACACAACTATAAAGATGTCTTTTCAAACTAAAAAAGAAAGTAGGAGAAAAAAAGTATACTATGATTATTATAAAATTTTAGTTTAGTCCCTGTAATTTTAATACTGTTGGTTTCAAATAACTTAATTTTTATGTCAATCATTTTTATCTTAAGAAATTAATTTAACATCTCAATATTTAAAAATATTTCATCATATAATAATTTTTATAAAATTAAATAATTTAAATGAAATTTTATATAAAATTAAAGAAACAAAAAGCACTTTAGCTGCGGATTTATCTTCAATATGTCAATATCAATAATTCAATATCTGATATAAATTTGTTGTTTAAATAAATAATGCTAACTGCTCTTCCAGTCATATTTATAAATGATTTTTAATATATTTTACTGATATTAAAAAAAGCTTAAATTTTATTAATTCTATCTAGAAAATTAAATAAAATATTAATTTTACTTTTATTAAATATGCGTAATTTAATAATATATTTTTTCTTTTCAATATTCAATAGAGGATAAAAAATTTAGGGAAAATTACATTGAAATCCCACATAAAGAAATTAATTATTGCAAGATTCATTAACAATTAAATTAAATTGTATTGACAACACAACCAGTTATCAATAATGTTTAGTTCAGTTGTCAATGAACCTTACAGTAATTATCAATGCAGTTTAGTTCAATTATTGATGGACCTTACAGTAATTAATTTTTCTATACAGACCTAATTATAATTCTCTTAAAAATTTATAATAAAAATTTAATGATATAACTTATAAATGAAATAAAAATAACCTTCTCTTTATTTTCCTATTATAAACATGTGTACTCATAGTCATGTCTATACGTTGGCCCAAAAATAAAACAAATAAATTGTAAATGGTACCATGCATGTTTAACAAGAAATTTACACAGGGCAGCAGCACAATGTTCATGAATCTTCTTTTTCCCGGTATTTTACACACACTCTGGAATGGTGTATTGTGATAAATAATCGATAAATTAAATATAAAATATTACTTTATAATAAAAAAATTATAAATATAAAATTAAACTTTTAATAATATTAAACTCCATATGCGTGACACATCATGACATTCTTTTGTATGCAAGGACGGATGTGCCTAGCCATTCCTATTCATAATTTTCATTGTGTGTGGTAGTGTAAGTACGAATTATTCATATAGGAAATTCCAGATTTTAGAGTCTATTGATGGAATAAAAAAAATTAGGTTTTATGTATTATATTTATTTTGAAAATATTTATATAGATGTTTAAAAAATGTATAATTTTAAGGAAGTTGGTGTACTTTTTGTTAATATAAAATACAATTTTCAGTCGTTGAATTTGTATTCAATTATTAATGTAGTTTCTGAATTTTGAATTAAAATAACACGGTTCTTATAGGTGTTTTACTCAAAACAATTCAATCTTTATAATTTCTTAATTCTATGAATGACAATAATATAATTATCAACTCTAACTCAAGTCTCGGCCGGGGAAGATGAGCTTACCATATTTGGATTACTTTTTCACTTAACCACATTTAAGACTATGATTTAGGTTAGATCAGAAGTAAATTGTGCAAGCTTCTGCCCAAATTTCAAATTACACACTAAAGATTGTAAAAATTTAATTTTTTTGACAAATATTAATGAAAATGCATACTAAGTTACCTTAAAAAAAAGCAAAAATTGGACTGGCGTGTTAAATTACAGTATTTATAAGTGGGCAATTAATTTTTTTACGGGACCTATGTAGTTTTTTCTATAATAGTGATAAGAAGGGGGGCAAAATGGTAAAAGGAGAAGGGAGAAAATGACAAGGGAGAGGCAAGAAAAGGGCACAATGTTGTTGCAGAAGAGGAAAGTGGAAGAAAGAGAGGTGGTGAAGATGCCATTCCCAGTGATCTCAAGAACCCCATAAAGTAATTTTGGTAGATGAGAGAGAGAGAGAGTTTCATAAAGCAGCGGGTGAAGGTGATGGCAATGTGAAAATTGTAAAAAGGATCTATCTATCTCCATCAAGCACCATTATAACAGCACTTGCCATATAATAATAATAATAATAATAATAATAATAATAATAATAATGTATTCATATTTAATATTTCTTAGTTCTAAAGAATTAGTATTTTATAATTTATCATTTGTTTCGACTCAATGTTTGAATAAATCATGTATTTAGTTATAACATAAAAAACAGAGTATGCATTTAGTTCAGGTTAAAATATACAAAATTTATGTGTATATATTTTGAAGCAATTTTACATAACTCATTCATTCACTTTTAAAAGTTTAATATAAACTTCCATAACTTTTTTATTGTTTTACTGCAGAATTTTTTTTTTTTTTTTGTTATCCTATCAAGAGAAGTTGACATGACATACTGAAAAGGCATGTAGTAGCTTATATGACATTCAATCTAAGTTAATAATAACAAAAGTTATTATGTGTTTTTTTTTTAAACATGATATAACAATTTCTGTTAGTACGGTAATTAAAAAAATAGCAGAGGAGTTTATGGTAAAAAAAAAATAATTTTAAATTTTTAAAGTTGAGAAAAGTTTTATGTAACTGCTTCCAAATTCAAGGGATTATGTATATTTTGGCTGTTTAGTTTATCTATATCTCAGACAAGAGTGGCTGAGGTTGTGTGTAATCCACATGGTTTTATGTTTGCAAAATTAATTATCAATGATCTATTGGCATTTAAGGAGGCATTCGAGTGAGGCAAGGTTCAGGTAAGTATTAAAGGGCAGGCGTGGACTTTCGCGTGAATAAATATAAGGACCAGGATCATGTCAATAATTTAATTACATTTTCTTAATTTTAATAAGTTATTTAAAAGTGAGTTATATAATAGTAGATAAAATAAATGTTTAACACTTGAGCTCTCCATTCTGAGTAAACACCGCCACATCATCATCATCATCAAAGGTGTCATACAACGGAACCCGGACGAGCCCCTCTTAATTTCCTGTTACATCAACCTCGCGCCTTCTCCACTATCTGGAAAATTTCGCAAGTCTGAGTGAGGAACAAGCCAGTGAGTAATAACGATAATGATAAGTAATTAAGTAACCAGTGACTCCTAACTGACCCAACTAAACCGGAATGTTATCTTCTTCGATTTTTTTTCCCCGGTTCGTTGGGTTAATCATAGCGGCACATAAAGGACAAGCACAATTACCAAAAGCCATAAAGTGGTGCTGCTTAGATAGAAAGACACAGAGAGAGAGAGACACAGAGGAGAAGGAGATGGGTTAGGACGAGAAAAGAGAGGGTTTGGTTTCTTTCTTTCTTTCTTCAACGACGTTGTTGCTCTCTCAAGGGGGCGTGGTTTGATTTGGTTTGGTTTTCTGAGTCGAGCTTTTGCTTTTTCTCTGTTTCTCTGCTAATGGAACCTCTGCTCATATTGAGTGAATGGCAGGTACTTTTGGTTGCCTCACCAAAAGCAATCTCATCAGTGTTGACGACGGTTGCACGACGCACGAGAACACCACACTTCCTTGTGCAACCCCTTTCACTGTAAAAAGCTATCCCCATCGTCATCCTCATCGTCATCGTCTTCAAGGAAGCTCTAACCGAGGAACAAGAACAGCAGAATCAAACCAGAATCCTGCTGTTCACTTCCTCTTGAAAAGCTGGGAGAGCTAAAGCACAGCGAGGCTGAGTCTGGATCCTCAAAGCAACCACCGTCATCACTTTTACCGCCTCCACCATCATTTCCCTCATCAAAACTCGCTTCTGAATTCCAGGCATGTAGAGCGAGAAGACGACGAGGATAAGGATTCTTCAGTTTCTCCGTCTGCTAAAGATCCGGCTCTTCATTTCCATCTGCAATATCTGCAGCAAAACCACTCTTATGCAGGTTTAGATACAGAACATAGCTCTCTTCATCCTCCGAAGAAACGGTCATATCTCCTTCCTGCTCCGCCTCCGCCTTCGCATCCTTCTTCTTCCGTCACTACTACTGTCGAATATGCGACAAAGATGGGGGAGAGTACCAATCGTCATCACCAGCGACCACCAGCGACGTCGTCGAGATTGGCGGTGAGGGGTGGAGTGGGAGAGATCGTGGAGGTTCAAGGAGGCCACATTGTTCGCTCTACCGGACGCAAGGACCGTCACAGCAAGGTCTGTACAGCAAAGGGACCCAGGGATCGGCGGGTTCGTCTCTCCGCTCATACTGCCATTCAATTCTACGACGTTCAAGACCGCCTCGGCTACGACCGCCCAAGCAAAGCCGTCGATTGGCTCATTAAGAATGCTAAAGCTGCCATAGATGAGCTTGCCAAGCTTCCCGCATGGAACCCCAATACTTTAAATCAAAATGCCCAGCAAGAGCAGGAGGGACAGCAGAATCAGGTGAACGAGAATGTAAACGAAAACGAGAATACGATTGCAGTTCACCGTGCGGCGGCGGCGGCGGCGGATACGATGGCTTCTGGTAGCCGGGAAACAAGTACGCCGGCAGGAAACGGCTGTCGAATTTTGGAGCAATTGGGCGAAAACCCTAATCGTGGGGGGTCGGGTTTCCTGCCGCAGCCGATGGACACTGGCATTGCTGACTCTATCAAGTCCTTCTTCCCGACTGCGGCGACGGCGCCGGAGACAAATTCTTCGTCGGTTCAGTTTCAGAATTATCCACCAGATTTGCTTTCGCGAACTAGTAGTGCCTGCCAAAACCAGGATCTAAGGCTCTCGCTCCAGTCGTTCCAGGACCCGATTCTGCTTCACCAAGCTCAAGCTCAGGCTCAGCACCACCATCAACATCAACAAAACGAGCAACTATTCTCTGCAACGACTCCACTGGGATTCGATGGGGCTTCTTTCCCAGAGGAACATGGTCGATTGCATCGAATGGTGGCTTGGAATGGTGCTGCTGCTGATACTGGCAACAGTGGCCACGGCGGAGGAGGAGGATTTCTCTTCAACTCGCCGTCACTGATGCAAACTCCGTTGCCGCCGATGTTCGGCCAGAGCCAGTATCTTACTCAGAGGGGACCCCTTCAGTCCAGTAACAATCCTTCGATTCGTGCTTGGATAGACTCTTCCACGACTGATCACCACCACCACTATCTTCCACAGACAATCCATCACCAGTCTTATATCTCCGGCGGCATCGGATTTGATTCCACTAGCTTCTCCGGTTTCCGCATCCCAGCACGAATCCAGGGTGAAGAGGAGCATGACGGCGTTTCTGACAAGCCGTCCTCTGCTTCCTCTGATTCTTGCCATTGAACGCATCAGAATCCCGAACTTTCCTCTCCTTTAAGGTGCCGCCTTCAAATTTCATCAAGGCACCTCTCTGTTTCACTCTTACAACGTAACGTAATTTTCACTCTGTTTTTCTCTTCCAGGATTCATGGTCGCACTCAAGATGATTGAATACTTGCAGTTTCATCGAGAACTACGAACGGAATTTTCAGGGAATCGAGATTGAAGAAGCATCATAAGTACAAGGAGTTGGATTCGGGTTTCAGTCACTGATTCAATGGCGTGTTTATGCCGTGGGAAAGAAGAAAATCTGGGTCGAATTTTCCAGGTTTCCTAATCCCCGGTTTTGTATGTGATCTTTCCAGTTAATTTTGTTTTGGCCTGTGTTTGACCAGAGACTATTTTCATTATGCGTCTTTTTTTTCATAATTGCTGGATCACTGTGTTACCCCTTTGCCACTTTGAAGTGACTACCTAAAATACACAGTTTTAACCATTACTGTGCTCGAATCGATTGTTGCAAGTGATGTTTCAAAGTACTGAATCTTGCGGGGCTATATATCGTGCTTGGTTTTGAATTTTCATTTATGATTAAAAGAAGTTCCTTCGTAGGCATTGTGACATGTTTTTGCTGTCTTGTTTTTAAAAGGAGGGTTAGGGACAATGTGTTTTCTCTTTTCTGGAATCTGGAATATGCTCAAAGGCTTACGTTGTCAATACAAGAAAAGAAAGAGGCTGTTGCATTGTGTCTGTGAATGAATGTCTTGGAGGAAATACGAATGAATCATTGTTCTGTTCCTTTTCACTGCCTTCTAGGCTGTTTTTTTTTTTTTTCTTAATAACTGTTTCATGTTTCGATTTTGGGAGCATTTTTTACTGAGAAGTCATTGTCCATGAACAGTAGAAGCTATTAACAGAAGAAACTATCATCATCAATGTTGCAGGAGCTTTGACCAAAAAAAAAAAAATGTTGCAGGAGCATTCTTCATATATGGTTTCTAAAGTGATCCTTTCTCTTGAAGTACTAAAATGGGTGTTTTGCATTTGACTTTTAAAATCTATTCAAATTTTGTATTCTTTTCAATCTTAGTCCCTTTATAAGAGGAGTTTCTTAGTAAATGGCATAGAATTTGAAGAATGAATTGCATTTTTATGACTGTGATAAATAGTCCATGTATTTAGTAAATTTTTATATTGATATATTGAAATAATACTACCAAATTACAAATATGAACTCTTAGATGTTAAATTGTATGGTAGGGTTAGTGGCAGTGACAAATAGAGTAGATGGTCCCTTTCCCCCGTCAATTTCAGTGTCTCACAAAAGTCTTATTATGATATGTACGGCTGGGAAATGATCTTCATCTTCAAATTGATGTGCAGAGAAATATTGATTAGGATCGGAGAAAATTCTTGGGAGGTATACGTAGATATATCATTTGTACAATACACAGCATATACTTAATTATCTCATGCCTCAACAAAACAGATTTAGATAGTTGGATGTGTATTTTTTTTTTTTTTAGATTATCTGATTGGGTCAAACTTGAGTATTATAAAGTCTAATTGATGATAATTCTTCTAATAGCATTTTTTTATATAATTTACACAAACTCAAACTTGAGATATCATGCCTCGTTGGATGTACATGTCTTTTAGATGCAAGCTATTTTAAAATTGTTCAAAAGCGTTGAAAATTTGTCAAGTTTTTACTATATGCTACTGGATTTTGGTAACAGGTCTATTTTTAATTGAGTGGCTTGGCGTGCCTTAGCTATGAATTTGCTTTAAAAATATTCATTCATAAGAATGTGAGTTTAGAAGAATCATTTTTGCAAGTGCCAGAACATGGTTTTGACAGAAGCAATTTGTGATTTTTGAAATGTTTTCAAATACAGCAGCGATCATCTAATAAGTGGAAAGATGGGCTGCTTGTTGCTAAATAAACTTAGGTATTTGTTAGACATGAGGTTTGCTATGTTGGAGAAAATGTCATTGACATGTGACTTCGATTTTTTCCCTTGTTAGTTTTCCAAGACTGCATTATTTTCAAGTCTTCGATATCTTTTAAACAAAATTAGAAAATATTATCATTCTATTTATTTACCAAAACAGATCATTCGTGCTTTCCAAAATAAGTTCTTAAAAATAATATCAAGGTGAGGAGTTATTCGTTTCAAAATTATAAATTCTTAATAATCATTGTATATTATTTCACATAAGATTAGTAATCAATTTGAAAAATTTTTAAAAATATAAATATTAAAATTAAATTATATCATGGAAAATAATATAGATAAAAGCTATAAAAATAGAAAATCGATATATCCAAAAAGGCTAAGACGTAATAGTAAAAAATCGAGATATATCACACTTCCGTAAGCCTGTGACAACTGATAATGCCCGGTAGAATGAGTTTTAAGCCTAATTTATATGATCCGAATATTGTCGGAGCATATCAATTAGTATAAACTGCACGAGCTGACTAGCCATTCATAGATTAATTCATTAAAGAATTGTTTGATTATCTGTTTTCAAAACACTTTTTTGCTTCAAAATAAAAAATAAAAAATAAAAAATGTCTGAAATTATGTTTTTTATGTGTTCTAAAATAGAAAAAAAGTTGTTCTCAAAAACTAAAAACCAAAAATATCTTTTTTATATTTTGTTTCGTAAAACTAGAGAAAAGACAGAAAATATTATTTTTTATTAATGACAATTATGTTAATAAGATGAATAATTCTTTCATCATTTATTTCATACTTTAAATATGTTTTTCAGAATAATGATCCAAATATTTTTTTTTATTTCCAAAATTTGTTTGAAAAATTACTTTATAGAGTTGTTTTAAGAATGTATAAACAAAAAAAAAACAAAATTAAACAAGCCCTAACTCTTCTTTTAAAGATTCTTTTTTTCTTGCATAGAGTAACTAGTATATTAAACTTGTTATAAGTCAAGCGAAGAGAACTTTAATAAGGACCTAGAGCCACAAACTCAGTGCCTTTTTGATTGCTTCATTAATCAATTTTTGAGGCCAAAAATCAATTAATAAGAAAAGTTATCCAAACATCAAGTTTTGTGATTAATCAATTTTTGGGGGCAAAATTGATTTTTTCCAAAAGCTGCCAATTCAAGCTTTTGTTGAAAATCTTATCAAAAAGTGTTGGAAAAAATTATAAACAAAGGCCCGAGAAAAAATTACAAAAAAAGGCACATAATTTAATGCAAACAAAATTAAATTCTCTTCTCTTTTTTTTGATAAAATTCAAACTTTGTATCCTCAAAAAAGTTGTTAGCATAAGTTTCTATCAATCATTATCCTTCACTCGACACTTACTATAAAATTAATTCAAATAAAATATTAATTTGTAGAAAAAAATTAATTTAAAATTTAGAGTCATGACAAATATTGTTGCAAAGCTCTAAAGAGAGAGATTTTACATCATTTGTGACATTGCTATATTTTTTATGTTACCAAAATTTTAAGAATTAATCAGATATGTAATTTAAATAGTATATTTTATTTCTTAAATAAAATTTAACAAATTTAATAATATTAGATATGAATATATTAATAATTTAATTTTAAAAAGCAATGTCCTTTATAGTAATTTATATAGTTAAAATTGATTCTGCTTAAATTATCTAAACAACTTTAGTTCTATTAAAATTAATTTTAAAAAAATAATATCCAAACAGATTGCGTTATAATATAATCAATTATAATTAAAATTTATCATTTAATTAATTATTTTCATAATTTATTATACTCAATTAAAATTTAAACGGACACTCAATCTTACTGAGCTGAAATGAGACGCTTTTAGATAAATCTACTAGCTACCACAAATGATGCTGCATTCTTAGAATTCAAACTATTAACCTCTAATTACGTTAGTGCAACTCTTATTTGTTGAACCAAGTTTTGAGTGGTTTTTAACTCACTTTTCTTTTTAATGCTTTTCAATTGACCTTTTTTTTGGTACAATTCAATTGACCCGGTAAGTATATATATGCCGTTTGAGCCCAATGGTTTCATATTTATTCCCGGCCCATGAACGCTAGCTCCTAGTTTAGCCTCTAAAGTTTTTACTAACTACATTTTGACCCCATAGTTTATGAAATTGTTCTTTTACCTCTTGCCCGAGCAAATATTTAAGCATATCCTTAAAAATTTAACTCACTGTATTGACTAAATCCTATAAATATTATGAAAATATTTTTTTTGTCGCTATTATGAATGATAAAGAATGATTAATACAATGGGCGCCTAAATCTTCAGCATATGCCCTTTTGTCTATTATAATTTGGCATTTCATTGCTTTTTGTCTGTACGCATTGATTTGCATGACAAAACAAACTATGCATTGTTGGTACAATTATTGGTGGAAATTTTGTTTTATTTTGAAATAATGTTGCAATAATCTTGACCACCATGGAAAAAAAAATGAAAGGTTGCTATCATATTGAATAACTGTTTTTTTAAATAATTATGTGATAATAATTTGATGCTATCAATTAATTCTTATTTGACTATCATTAGGCTCCAAATTAATTAGTGGTTACCTGATCTTCTGCATAAAACGAATATTCAAACCAATTAAATATCTAACTTTAAATTCCTTCCACAGGATACCACCACCATCGTTTGCACAAATTTTTGGACGAAACTTATATATTTGATCTTATATATTTAATATATTTTTGTCAAACTAAATCAAGACATGTACATTTTAATGTGTTAATAATATTAATAATAAGAATATGTTATAAAATAAATAATTTATAAAAGATACACGAGTTTTGATTTAATTGTAAACAATTACGTTCAACACATAAGATTAAATATATAAGTTGTTTCCTACATTTTTATCTTTTTATGTGTGGTGGGACATTTAGCAAGTATTAGAAAAATTAAATTGAAAATATCTCTGGTGATATGATTTTTTTTCCCCAATTCACAACATTTAATTTGGATCGACACTTAGTTGAATAAATTCTGAGTTTCTCCTATTATAATTTAGATCTAAGCTATCGTGTGCCTGAGATGAGACTTTTAACAAGCGTGAGAAATATGATGAAATGATATTTAAATATGACAAGAATATCATTAAAATATGTAAATGATATTTTAATATGATGAAATGTGATAATAATTATTATTATTATTTAAGTCATGAATACATGTCTGGCATTTTGTCATTTGACGAAATAATACAATTGGTTTCAGCAACTATTATACACTGACAAACAACTACTCTAAATAATTGTTGCATTTCGTGTTATATAATTATCATTTGCATATTTTTAAAGTTTTTTTTTTTTTATCATTCTCCCTTTTTTCCCCTTATTTATTGACGCAAGCAAATACTATTGGCATAAAACCTCACGAGCAAGACGAAGGATCTTTTTCTATCTCCATGATCCGAAGGAATATTACTTGTGAAAAGTACAATTAGAGATATATAGAGAACATTGATTATTTCAACAATAGAAATTGGTCTAAAATAAAGATTTGACCCCCAACACATGATATTGTAT